ATAATATGATTATATATTAATTGTTATTTCAATTGAATTGTATTTATATTTCGTCATGATCTTGTGTGTGTTTATGTTGTGTGTGTGTGTGTGTGTGTGTGTATACAGCCGTAATATATTTGAATAATAAAAAAAACCATTTAAACATGCATATAATTGTTGCTCGGAGTGTCAATAGATATGAAAACCAGATTGAGAGATGTTGATAATTTCAATTCAAACATGAAATTTCAAATTTTAATACTTAAAGTCTAAGTTTTCACTTCTATCGGCAGTCTCTATAACTGCCAATTTTTTTTTATTTTGGTCTTAAAAAATAAAGGATACCTGTCTCGTTAATTCTGTTGTTATAATTCTACAAAAAGTAAGCAGGAAGATTGAATTTTAATATGATAAGCGAAATACTACTCCCCCAAAATTTTGAACAATGTACTCTCTCTTTTTGTTTTTAAAATTAATTTTAAACAGTTATACAAGTCAATTTAAAAACAAGATTTATTTTTATAATTTTAACAAAACATTTCAGCGAAATATTTATCTAATAAATTAATCTAAATAATGCTGTAATATCATGCAAAGATAGTGCTCAAAGTGAAGTGTAATAAGTAGTAAAAAATTAATGTATAAAATATTAGTGTTTTATATGGAACATACTGTGAATCGTTGATGAGACACATGTGTTTGCGAAAATTACAAAGAAATCTAAACAGCAATAATTTAAAACTAAAAGAAAAACAAAGGTAATAAAATAAAGCATTCTAGTTATTGACTTTAAATATTTATTTTTAAAATATTTTTTTTAAAATCATGATAAAAAATATCCTTATTTTTTTGATTTTCTTAAAATGAGTTTTTTTGTCTGCGTTTATTCCGATACACCATTTTCTGAAAATCTTCTTTACCAGTAGCACTCATATAAAGGGTGTTTTTTTAGAGGTATAGAACTTGAAATTGCAATAAAACAACAATGTATTATTCGATTGACATGATTTTTTTTATTCGAAAGATAATCTTGTGGCATTACATTTTAAATAGGATTTCTGGCATATGACTGCCACGGCTGGCTCGGATGTAGTCCAATCTGGACGTCCAATTTTCGATGACTTTTTCCAACATTTGTGGCCGTATATCGGCAATAACACGGCGAATGTTGTCTTCCAAATGGTCAAGTGTTTGTGGCTTATCCGCATAGACCAATGACTTTACATAGCCCCACAGAAAATAGTCTAGCGGTGTTAAATCACAAGATCTTGTAGGTCAATTCACAGGTCCAAAACGTGAAATTAGGCGGTCACCAAACGTGTCTTTCAATAAATCGATTGTGGCACGAGCTGTGTGACATGTTGCGCCGTCTTGTTGGAACCACAGCTCCTGGACATCATGATTGTTCAATTCAGGAATGAAAAAGTTAGTAATCATGACTCTATACCGATCACCATTGACTGTAACGTTGTGGCCTTCATCGTTTTTGAAGAAGGATTCCACCAGCCCATAAAGCGCACCAAACAGTCAGTTTTTCTGGATGTAACGGTGTTTTGACATACACTTGTGGATTAGCTTCACTCCAAATGCGGCAGTTTTGTTTGTTGACGTAACCATTCAACCAGAAGTGCGTTTCATCGCTAAACAAAATTCGCTTATGAAAATCGGGAACAACGGCAATCTCGTTTTGGGCCCATTCGATGAATCTACGCCTTGCTTGATCATATTTAAAATGTAATGCCACAAGATTATCTTTCGAATAAAAAAAATTCATGTCAATCGAATAATACATCGTTGTTTTATTGCAATTTAAAATTCTATATCTCTAAAAAAAACACCCTTTATCTTGCATGTTATAAAATTTAATTATTTCCAATACAATGAATACTTTTTAATAATGAACATTTAAAACTTTTAGATATTTTTTGCTCATGATCTTCATTAAAAATTAAATAATATTTAAATCATAAAATTAAACTTTTTAAAATTTTTTTATTTTATTTACATTTATTGTATAGAATGATATGTTAACAAGCAATGCAAAGTTTAAAAGTTTTATTCCAGTAAACTTTATGCGAGTTGTACCTAAAGTTAAGTACATGACTAAAAAATATGATAGCTATTAATTGCTGAGACATAGTTATTTATATTTATAAATGTGATGTTTTACATACACAGGCACATAAGCATACATATATTACGGCTTAAAATAAGTTTATATTTTTACCTGCCAAGGACGTCCCGATCCCAATATTACCTTTTAGAAGATGTTTGGCACCGTTTTCATAAAGCAAATCATCAAAGTTTTGTTGAATATGCTGAGCTGATGCGATCTTTAAAATTGATGATAAATGTTTATGGGTTTATCTTGACCTTTCTGAATTTATGTTGTTTTTCATTAAAGAAAATAATTGCTCGCATAAATAAGTACTTCCGAACATAGCTATTATACGCGTAACAAAGGATAACATCTTAGGAAATCTAACTATTGATAATCATGTTTAAAAATCTGGAATTCCAACTTCCATGCGTATTTGCTTCAGCAAAGAATCACATTGGATCTTAATCAATTCTATTTGTAAATTTTCGTCAACAAGTTCAATGTCGATAGATAGAGGTGAAGTAAAAAGACGATATTGTAATTCACAGCTTTTGAAATCAGAAAATCTTCGATCGAATTCTATTTCTAACAATTTAATTTGGTGAGCATATTCTGTAAATTTTAATTTAGAGGATTTAATTGGCAGCTTTCAAAGAGAGACAGATTTTCTTTTTCTATTTGTTTTCGCCAAAGAAATAATTTTTGTTTAAAAGCGTTAATGTTATCAAATAGTGTTGTACAGTAATAAGATTATTTTGCCTTGAAGCTTAAGATTAAGTTGATGAAGGTGACTTGTGATATCAACTGAGAAGGCCAGGTCCTTTAGCCATTGTCCATCTTTTAATTCTGGACATTCGTATTTTTTTGTTTCTAAGAAAATTATGATTTCGTTCAGCAGTTTGAAAAATCGTTTTAATACTTTATGACTCGAAAGCCATTGAATTTCTGTATATGGTAGATCGGGGAATTCACTTTCTATGTCTTCCAGAAATGAAGTGAATTGACAGTGATTAAGTCTATGTACTCGAATATAATATATGACTTTTGTGACAATTTTTAAAACATGACCGATATTTAAAACTTTGGAGCATAGTACTTGTTGGTGAATAATGTAATGAAAATGTTCAAAATTATTATTTCCGTGTTGTTTGCATGTTTCTTTTAATCTTGCAACAACTCCTTTGGTAATAACGGTCATGGTAGGGGTGCCATCTGTTGCAAGACAAACCAACTTATCCAATGGTAACTTATACTGTTTTACAACTTCCATAAGTACCTCAAAAATATCAGCTCCAGTGGTAGTATTATGCATAGAAATAACTTCCAAAAGTTCATTTATTTTTAAATGAACATCGCATCCGCGAATAAAAATGGCCAGCTGAGTGATATTTCGAATATCTCTACTTTAATTAATTGCAATCGAGTAAGCTTGAAATGTTGATATTGTTGAATAATGCTGATCCCTCAAATTCTCGTCTATTTCATCAACTCTGCTAACTACAGTATTTCGACTTAAGCTATCACTTTTAAATTTTTTTTATTTGTGCTGGACATAATACTTCCGCGGCTTTTATTAAGCATTCACTAATAAAATCACCTTCAGTAAATGGTTTTGATCTGCTTGTGCTATTAAATGGGATAAAATATAACTAACTTTTACAGCAGCTATATTGTCTTCAGAAAATTTAGTTTATACATTTTGTTGTTTTTGAAGAGTTGATTTCAAATCCACCAATTTTTCTTCACGAAATTTTGAAATGTATTGGTCATAATTTGTTTTATGATTTGTGTCATAGTGCCTTTTAAGATTATACTCCTTAGATACAGAAATAGAGTTTTTGCAAATCAGGCATAATATTTTACTCTTACTTTGGACACAAAAATATTGCAGTCCCATTTTTCTTGAAAAATGTGACGTTCATCTTCAATTGATCTTTTTTTACTCATTGTAGTTGAAGTTTGGTTTTTTTTATTATTAAGTAATTTTTTAGATTAAATCCACTTTTACCAAAATCCACTTTCATCTGCAAACGATTGAGCAAACTCTACCCTTTATCTTGTATTTCGTCTTGTGACTGCATCTGACAAAAAGCTCTTAGCTTCTCGCTGATTTGATACTCTAAAGATGAGGAAAGAGAAATACAAGTTGCACACACGATAAATTATGATGGTATCTATTAAGTCATAAAGATGTTAACACTGCCCTAATATTCTCCAATTCCAGAGGGGGCTTTAATGGGCAATCCCTCTGCCCACAGGAAGTGCGAGGTCACTGACCAAAAGGGGACTGAGGTTATGAGAATGGTCTATAAGAGGGAGAATGCCTCGTAACGTGGTGTTAATATCATGAGCTTTTTGTGCAACCGCATTATATTGTGTGAGAAATGTTGTTTATTCAGTCCACTAAGAAGTTGTTCACTATTTCTTTTAAAATAAGAATAAGTAACAAGAAAATATGTTGTAAATTTTAAAAAAAGTTCACCTCAAATAAGTTTTAAAATGAAAAATACTTTGAAAGCTTGATATTTAAATATTTTTTGAAATGTCATGGTGGGCTGCAACTTATGTATCGGCGGGCCGTGTATCGGCGTGTTTGTCATACCTGCTATATAGGGTGTTGGACTATTATTTTTGTTTGTTACTATTTATTCATTAGTTAAATTTAATTATTCCAATGAAATTTCATAGAAAAAAGAAATCACATTCTCAGAAATCAGGCCATCCCGATTGGTATTCAAATTCCCACATTTGGATTAGAAGTTCATTGTGCTACAGGGACACAACGAGGGATTTTCCTTTTTATATATGGTGTAGGATTATTATTTTTGTTTGTGTTTCTCTATTTATTCAATAATTAAATTTAAATATTCCAATAAAATAGTATACTTGCAAAAAATCGCATTCTCAGAAATTCGGCCATCCCAGGTGGGATTCAAAACCACAACCTTTCAATTAGAAGTCTAACGCGCTCTCTATTGCCCTACTGGGACACAACGAGGTATTTTCCTTTTTGTGTTGGCTATTATTTATGTTTGTTACTATTTATTTATTAATTAAATATAATTAATTAATTAATGTTTGAAAAAACTATTAACATCAAGTGCCATCCACTACAAGTATAACAAAATGTATTTCAACTTGAGTGGATGAATAAAAAGTATTTTATAAGCTATTGAAAACTTTAACAAGATATATATATATATATATATATATATACTGAAGTGGCACCTAATTAGGGATACCTACCTAGTAACGAGTTGGGCCTCCTCTGGCCTTGATAATGGCTACCACACGACGAGGCACAGATTCAACAAACTTCTAGAAACGTTCCACGGAAATGACTTGCAAAATAGTGGCTAAAGCTGTCCATAATTCAGTAAGGTTCGTTGGTGCTGTGTGATGGCCTTTCACGCCATGTTCCAAAACATCCCAAAGATGCTCAATAGGAATTAAGTCTGGGTTGCTAAGTAGTCAATTGATAACATAAAAGTCAGAGGAATGCTCATCCAACCAGCCAGTAGCCAACCGGTACATGTGAGAGTTACAGTTGTCTTGCTGGAAAACTCCATTACCGTGCGGATAACAGAACAGCATAAACGGAGGGAGGTGATCACCCAGCAACTATACGCCCGAATTGCATTGAGAGAGGTTGGTACACGCACCAAAAATACCAAACAGTGCCACAAAAAAACACCCATGCCATGATTGAGCCATCATGGCCTTGTACAGTTCCAACCTGGCATGCAGGATCAAAGGCTTCATGAGCCTGGTGCCACATTCTCAGGCTCCCGTCGACGTTAAGTAGTCAAGACTCATCTCTCCATACTACTCGTTTCAAGTCCTCTACACTCCAATCTCTGTACTCTTTTGCCCATGCAAGGCGAGCAGCTCGAACATTGAGCAATGGCACTCTTGTACACTGGTGTGCAAAACTTAAGCAACAATGTAAAAATTAAGCACACATAACCATGAAATTGCAGAAAAGGAGGTCTGGAGATCAGTACAGTGAACACGTAAGTCAGTAGAAACGTCACTGCGTATGCAAATATCAGAAACGAAACGTCAGAAGCGACGTGAGCGTACGCAAAACGCGTGAAGTCGGCGCGTGCTGTTCAACAGTAAAATAAAATGAAGGATGCAGACGCAATTCAACATATTCGCTGCAAGTGCCAGTGAGTCAGTTCGTGAAATATGGCTAGAAGAAATCACCTGGACGACTTCACACGTGGAAGAATGATCGGAAAGCTGGAGGAGGGGCGTACCGTCACCAGTGTAGCTGCAGAGTTCGGAATCAACAAAAGTATCGTTACGCGCGCTTGGAAAGCGTTACAAACCACAGGTACAGCTGTTAGAAAGGTTGGTGGTGGCCGCTCGAGGACGACAACTACAGGGGATGACCGATATATCATCCTGCAGGCGAAAAGAGGCCGACGGCAATCAGCAAGCGTCATTGCTCAGCAACTCTCTACAGCAACGGGGCGACAAGTGTCGTGGTTTACTGTGGTCAGACGCCTTCACAAAGGGGGCCTATTCGCCCGCCGTCCTGAACGCTGCCTCCCGTTGAAAGTTGACCACCGACGCCACCGTTTACAGTGGTGCAGCGAGCACAAAAACTGGACAACTGTGAATGGAGTCGTGTCCTCTTTACGGATGAGAGTCGGTTCAGTACCAGAAGCGATTCTCAACGCGTTTTGATTTGGAGAGAGATCGGTTTTATACCAGTAACATCAAGGAAAGACACCATTACGGTGGTCCTGGAGTTCTTGTCTGGGGAGGCATTATGCTGAACGGGCGAACTGAGCTCCACATTTTCGATAGAGGGTCTGTAATCGGGGATCGCTATTGTGAGAAGGTACTTCTTCCCCATGTGCGTCTGTTCCGAGGTGCCATTGGCCCAGACTTCATTTTTATGGATGACAATGCACGGCCACATCGAACTCTTGCTGTTGAGGAGCTGCTGGAAAGTGAAGATATCGCTCGAATGGATTGGCCAGCGTACTCCCCAAATTTAAATCCCATCGAACATGTGAGGGATGCTTTGGGGAGACGTATTGCAGCACGCTTACATCATCCGGAGAACACCCAACAACTCAAACAGATGCTGATTGAAGAATGGGCACTCCTAACGCAAGAAATGTTGCACCAGCTGGTTCTGAGTATGCGGAGACGGTGCGAAGCAACCATTGCAGTGAGGGGAGGGCATGTACCATATAAAGGAACATCTGCTTGTTATTCTTCCTGTTGGGTAGACCATCATGAGTAACGATACTATGCGTTCAGTAAAGCTTGTTTTTGTTTGATTCCATACCGTATGCATTGTATTCCTTTTTCAGCGCCGATGCTTTCGTCATCCTTTACGTGCATAATACTCTCCCTCATTTCTGAATTTCATGTCTCTCAGATGATTTTTCGTGAAGTTGTGCAATAAACCCACCTGTTGCTTAAGTTTTGCACACCAGTGTAGTTTAACGACTCCCGAAACCCATACGGTTAAGCGAGCGTTGCACAGTCCGTTTACTGACTGTACGTCTGGCACCATCATTCAACTGAGTGGCAATTTGAGCTAATGTTAAGACTTCGCTGGCTACGTACAATACGCCTGAGCTGTCTCTCACCACGCACTATCAAGGCTAATTGTCCTTTTCAGTTTGCCGGATTGCTAGTTTTTTGTCCGCTATCCATGTATTCTTGGTATACTGACCTCTGGAAAATCCTACATGTCGGATGATTTCGGAAATTGAATGGCCCATGCGTTGCTCACCTATGATTTATCCTCGATTGAAAACGTCTAAATCAGGCAGTTTACTCATACTGACAATTCCAACAACAAATTCAGAACAACCATAGTATGTGCTATATATGCAGTCACCACAGCGCTCTCACTTGCTCATAAATGAAGCGTGGCGTTACACAATATGCATAGCCCTTGCTATCCCTAATTCAGTGGCTCTTCAGTGTATATTATATATATATAGGTTGAGTGTGAACTGTATAATAGTAGGAATTGAAAAAAACAACAGTAAAAAAGAAATCTAAAAGTTTTTCAACTAAATTCATATCTTAATTACATTTAATAGTTTCCTTTCTCAAAATTAGCAAAACTTAAAATGTAGACATACTGAAGGAAAAACATTATCTAATTGGTAACACAGAGTTTGTGTTTTTCGTAAAAATCAAACATGTGGAAGCAAATAGTGAAAAAGTGATTCTATGAAGTGAATAAAAAAATTATACAGCAAAACCAAGCATATTAACTGCAATTTTAACTTAATAGATGAACTGGCATACCATGCAAAACAAAATAATCAAAATTAAGATGAATAATGTTAAATATTGCCAGCAAAATTCAGATTTCATAGAAGTATTTAACTATAAAACTTGCTATTAAGGCCTAAACTCAACCAGTTTGAAACAGTTTGTGCTTTGAACTCGACACAACTTTTATTACATAACTTCACATTTTGTTTTACTTATCCTCATTAATAAAATAATATGTATCCTAGAATAACTAAGCAGGGCTATGAACTGAAAACAAACTTGTTTGACTTGAATAGTATTCGTTCGTTCAAAACAAAATTTGAGCAAAAAAAAAAACGCATACAAAAATTTTGTATCAATTTCATTCATACAGATATACGGAAGAAAGGTAGTTAGGGTTGTTCCACGACTCAAATCCGTGGTAATCATGGGGGTTTCAAAATCAATACAAAGTATTTTTGTTGCTCGTTGAATTTACAACTGGAGTCCATCAAGCTCAAGGCCCCTGGCTGCTGCCGGATCCGCTAGCCGCTTAATCCGTATCTGTGTCCATCCCTATAAGCGCATCGTTTTTCCTCAGGATGATGGCATCTACCAGAGGAAAATCCGAAGTGTCATATAGCTGACAGTGTACGTGCGTGGTTCGAAGAGCACCAGGATGAGTTTACCTTTCTCCCCTGGCCAGCAAACTCACCTGACCTGATATAATCCCAATCGAGAATCTGTGGGACCATCTCGATCGGGTTGTTCGTACCATGGATCCTCACTCGCATATTCTAGCGCAGCTGGTCATGGCGCTGGAGTCAGCATGGCTCAACATCCCAGTGAACACCTTCAGGAACCTAACTGACTCTCTTCCTATACGTCTCGCAGCAGTCCGCTCTGCGAAAGGTGGTTATTCTGGTTTTTGACAGTTGGTCACATTAATGTCACTGGACTGTGTATGTAAAAAACATCTAGCTGCTGAAAAATGGAACTTTTGTGGTAACACTCGATGAGGTATGAGTATATTTAAGTGACAGTAGTAAACGAAGATCCATTTTCTATCGCTCAACTGACGGGAATACCGTACGAAATGGCTTCGTCAGTGTACAGTTAAGTTCCCAAAGGGATCCATGATGTAGGATTTTCTCTAACAACAACAAATTAAAATCAAAAAAGTATTAAGTAAAGCCAAAAGTAATTCACTCTACTATCAGCAGAATATTTCAGAACCCATTTTTGTATATGAAATTCCAACTTTATATGGAAAGGACATTGATAAAGTTGACCATATGGACAAAGCCTCTAGTCACACGTCTAAATCAACTGCCGGTTATTTAGAAAAGAAAGAATTCTGAAACAGGAATGAAGTATATCCCATTTGATGAAACACGTGTAAAATCACCCTACGCTTCTGGAATGGACTTTTGTGTTTTCGGTTTATTAAAACGTGCTTCAGAAAAAAAGGCATCCAAGAACACACTGGAAAACAGTTCAAGAAAAATGGAGTAAAATTTGCATGACAGTACTAAGAAAAAGTTTACGCTCATGAAATATTCAGGCTAGATCTATTGTCAAGAATCATGGCTGTCAGATAGAAGCAAATTTCCACAAAAAATATAGTATTTATTGATAAAAATTAACTATATTCGAAGAAAATAGGATGTTTCAAGACGATGGGAAGTTAACTGTTTTGTAGTGAAAAACAAGGATGAATCAATAATCGTTTGATTTGTCACAAAATTGTTGT